GGATGACTATCATTCTCTTTTAAAGAATAAGTATTACATAGTAATCATCATAGGTAACAATTTTGTTCTCATCACAATCAATTGAAACATCCTCAATAATTGTGGGATCAACACTACTTAAAGTGAATACCATTACTACCTACCAACATGACATCTCTAAACCCACTTCTAATAATATTGCAATCATCATAACTAGGTGTAGGAGGTGCATTCTCATCTTAATATATTTCCTTCTGTAAGCTAGGATTAGGAGGTCTCGAAAGATCATATTCATTCATTGTTTCACTTTCATTATTACAAGCAAGAGGATAATCATTAGGATCCTTAATAGCATAAACTTCTTCAAACATGTAATCCTCATTCTTACTAGAAAACATATTTCAGACTCAGCATGCTCACTAGCAAAAGGACTTTCAAACCTATCATCCCGAAGCTTAGGATTTTCCATGTCAATACCAAAAGGATTTTTAAACATAACATGCCCAAGCTTAGATTTTTCCAAATTTTCATCATAAGTGATAGAAATATCATAAGAATTGTCATCAAGAGCAAAAAGGTTTTCAAATTTATCCTCCCCAAGCTTATGCTTTTCATGTCATTAGCATAACTGATATTCATAGAATACATACTAATAACTTTTCTTTCCTTTCTTTCTTCAAAAAATATATCTTGATTAATATTCAAAGAACTTACATCAATAACATTTTTTATTTGAATAATTCATAGCCATGTTCTAAGTCCATACTTTGAACATTAAGTTTGTAAATACAATCAAGTGCACTATTTTTGTTGTTTCTTCCATAAGCCAAACAAGTGAATAAGCAACTAAAAGATAAAATTGCAGGATCTAAAAAAGATACCTTCAAGCACCCACCTTCCTGGTAATGACACGAGAAAAGATCTTATGTCTACTACATACTTCTATTCTTCCAGACTATGTTGAGCCTCAAGTGGATGACCTAAGGCTTGAAACTTTTCGAACTATTTTTGTTGGATTTTTTCTCAGACTTTTTTTGTGGTGTTTTCCTGAAATACCAAAAATAAAAACTGACACTAGGCACTGGATTAATAAGTTAGACAAATAAAGTTGATAAAAAGTATGCCCAAAGTTCTGGAATTGATAGCAAAGTAGCATGCATCAGACAAAAAATATCGATAAGTTTAAGACTTATGAGTGGGAAGAGCATACATCCGTCCCTAATCCTCGTTCCCGTAAGCCTTGCAATTTTCATATGGAGAATCCATGTAACATTTTGTTTTCTTGTCCTACATTCTTTCCTTTTCATCATTTTTTAAATAGTTCTATTTGTTATGGTTTCCTTCTTTGTTTTAAATTAAAATATTGATTTTTATGTATCAAGATAAAGATAATATATATGCTAGCAAATATATCATTTTCATCTATTAAAACATTGGACAACTCACGTGTTTATTCAAAATTGTATGGCATACATGAAGATTTTCAAAAACACTAAAGTACACACAACTTTTGAAATATATGGAGGATTTCTAAGATGTATCAAAACAATTGTCATGACTCACCTGAACACTTTCTATGACATATTTCAGATGCTACATCTAGGGGATTTTATTACGGTTGGAAATTTATAGTCTGATATGGAGGCCTAGGGTGAAAAACAGGAGGGAGGTCGAGAATTAGTGGGAAGAGGTCATGTAGATCCAGATTCCAAGATCTGGTCAATCTAGCATTTCCTATACTAAGGCCCAAAGTGTTTTTTTAACTTTGTTCCTTCGCATTATTTGTTGGTTTTTTCCCTTTAATTTTTATGTTTTATTTCCATTTGTTGTGCTTTTCCTTCTTTGTTTTTAAGCAAATATTGAATTTATATGCATCAAAACAAGGAAAATAGATATGCGAACAAATACATCATTTTCATCGTTTGGAACATTGGACAACTCATGAGTTAAGAGAACATTCTACGACATACATGGCCATATTCCAAAATATTGAAACACACAAGTTTTTGAAACATATGGAAGATTTCTAAGACGTATTGAAACAATTGTATGACTCACCTAAACACCTTAAACAATTGTATGACTCACCTAAATGTCTGTTGAACGACAACAGACATTTTTTTTGGAATGTCAGAACATATTGAACTAGTAGTGTGAATTATTTATGTGACATACATGTACATACATAGGCCTAACTTTTATGTAGAAACTTACACGCAGGACATGAGTTCCCAGACTCTCGATTATCATGGTGGGTTGCTTCAATTTGGTTTTATACGTGTCGCGCCGGGCTAAAAATTTTTCCCGTGTGGCGGTGTTTTCTTTTGTTGGTAACAACTTGGCTTGCTATTTGAGTCGATATTTGTTTTGAGAGGAAGGTGGAATTGGTCAGTGTGTGGCTCTAGTGTTGTTACACAATTTAGTCTCGGTGGCAACCAGTGCAGGTTAGGCGAGCTTGTTTGTAGCCCGCAAAACCAATTAACTGCAAGCAAACAACGCACACGACGAGAAGTTTTTTTTGAGACAATCGACGAGAAGTAATACAGAGAGCAAGCATTTCCTATTGGACTCCTTCAGTGCCCATTAACGTGCATTTCATTAACTGGCACTAAAGGCGCTCTTACATGGGCCCGCCCATCTAGGGTGCAATGGGAGAGAGCTTTTTCCTAACCATTTTTTAAATTTCTTTGTTTTCTTCCTGGACTGACCTTGTTTTTTTCTCTTTGTATTTTCTCCTTTTACTATATTCTGTATTATTTTCCTATTCCTTTTTTATATTTTATTTTTCAAAATGCATGATTTTTTCAAATTCGATGAAACCTTAAAAAATTGAAGAACACTTTTCAAAATCGATGAACTTTTATTAAAGCTTATATTTTTTTTCCAAAATTGATAACTTTTTTCAAAATCGATGACCTATTTTTAAATTTTTGATTTTTTTCAAATAGATGCACTTTTCTCAAAATGAGTTTACTTTTTTTGAAATCAATGAACTATTTTTAAAAATTGGTGAATTTTTTACAAGATCAATGAACCTTTTTAAAATCATTGGTTGTTTTCGAAGTTGGTGAAATTTCTTTCTATTTTTGTGAAATCTCTTTTTTCAAAATCATGAAGTTTTTAAAAATTCAAATGCATGATCTTTTTAGTTCATTTTTTTTTCATTTTTTTGGATTTTCTTGAAAAAAATCTAGCAAACGAGCGGTCGTTCGGCAGTAGCGGCCGTTAGGTGTTTACTTTTTTGAGCGAGCAAGCGCGCTCGTTGGCTGGCCTATATACCTGCGACGCTGCAAGTGCCAGCTTGTTAACTGGCGCAAAACACGTCAATTAGGAGCTACAGACAGAATGACGAATAGCCCAAACAACCTAAACATGCAAAAACCAGCGTGAAGGTAGGCCCACGGCTGATCCCCAGAGCCCCAATGCACCAAGAACCAACATTCCTAGGGAGCATAGAATTTTAAACAATTTTCAGTTCAGATTCTTTTAAATCCACAAATGTTTTTTTAATGATATACAATCCTCGAATAGAGCGACATCGTAGGCAGGCTTAAGTTTCAAGGAATCATTCCCCGATTGAGTCTAGGATTTATAGCATATGTTTCATATGTTCTTAAGAATGTAATGAACTACTTGCAAGTCACAGCGTAAGCATGTCTGGAAGCATATGAATATGAATAGCATTCTGAAAGTTTGGATCTCATACCAATAAAACATAAAGCATCAACTAACATACATAAACTAAGACACGAGGTTACCCTAAAAAAACCAACACATGGGGCTGACATTAAAGATGTAGACGGTGTTGTTTGTGAAGACGCCGCAGATGAAGATGCTCCCCACAATGCCTTTTGTTGGTGAGGAAGATAATGATGATTTATACGGTTGGAGATGGTTGAGTCCAACATGATAAGTCCTGGAAATGTGGACCTAGGATATTTTTTCCGCCTTCATGAAAAATGGAACGGAAATATTAACGCCCACACGTGTGGGCGTTTGCACATTGCCCACACGCCTCCATCACCACTCATTTTGCCACGTATGAATAGATGACATCAGCATAATTTTTTTTGGTTTTCGGCTTAAAAATGTTGTATCTCCTAAATAAAAAAACGAACTAAAAATCCGTTTTCACCATTAAATCCGTCTCGACGAGATCTTCAAAACTAGACACCATGTTGATATATTTCGACGATTTTTTTTTTGCCAGAAGTTGCCACGATGTTTACACTGCAGTTGCCATAGGGCTTAAACTAAAGTTGCCATGTGGCAATTTTAGTTTGTAGATCATGGCAATTTTAGTATTTTGATGATGGCAACTCTAGTACTTTGACCATGAAAATTATTTTTTGTATGAACCATGGCAATTTTACGTGCATGTATCATGGCAATTTTAGTTTATGGTTCATGGCAAGTCTAGTTTCTTAATTTCCCGTTTTATAAATGTCAAAATTTACTTTTAAATATAGAAGAAAATAGCTGAAACATATCATGGCAACTTCAGTGTAAACATCATGGCAATTCATATGCAATAGACATGGCAACTTTTAATCCAAAAAAAATTTCATCAAAACATATCGACATGTGATCTAGTTTCGAAGATCTTGATGAAAATAGATTTTCAATCGGATTTTTCGTTTAAGAGATAAAAAAATTAAAAACTGAAAATCTAAAAAGATTCCTACATGCATGCATGCGATGACGTGGCAATCTGTTTACATTAGAGACGTGTGGTGCGTCTCCCTTCGTGCCATACGTGTGGCAGTTAGCGCGACCCAAATGGAAAACATTTGGGTCTCCAAAACAATGAGAGAAATTGCCAAAAGGAAGCCATCTGGGCCCTTATGGAACCGTCAGGGCCAGGGCACGAGTGCCACTTGTGACCCCACGAGCCCAACCGAGAATCTGATTTCTCAGCTGGTGAATGGCTTCTGCCTGTAGCAGTCCAGGTTGCTCCCGTAGCCGACGCGGAGAATATTGCAGTAGCGCTTATAGAACCCTATCCGGTCGGCCACCCGTGGGTCCCGCCCGATCCCGCACTCGAGCCCGCCGTTGATGATGTTGGTGATCATGCCGTATCCGGGAAACCGGCCGGCGGCCAAGTCTGCGAGCGTCGGCCTCCACTGCCCCGTGATCACGGCGTGGGACGACGGCTTGTTACCCCGCGGGGTCATCCAGAACCATAGGGCCGTCTTGAATGAGACCACCGGGTCTGTCTCCACCAGCTCCGGCTGGTTCAGCAGGTCCACGCCGATCGCGCGGCCCGCCGGCCCGTAGTTGTAGTTGTAGGAGAGCTGGATGGGGCCGCGGCCATAGTACTGCTTGTCGGGCGCGCACGGCCACTCCTCCCTGGGCTCGCAGTAGTCGGACGGCGGGTCCCTCTCCCGCTTGAGGCAGTAGCCCCACGAGTAAGGGCCGTCGGGCGCCGTCGGCCACCCGCCGGTGGTCTCGTGGGATGTCTGGCCCAGGAACGCGGCCACCTCTCGCTTCCGCGTGTTGGTGCTCAGCGTCGTGCCGGCGAAGGCAGGGAACGCCGCGGCAGCCGCGAGGAACGCGTCGTACGTGTAGAACCCGCGGGCCAGGCACGACGCGTCGTTGCGGTGCAGGAGGAGCCGCTCGAAGAGCTCCCTGGACACGATGGACGCCACGGCCTTGGCGCCGGTAGGAGTGTTGCCGCAGCCGCTGCACTGGCTCTGGCAGCCGGCGCCGCAGTGGTCGGCCGTGCTGCCGCAGAACCCGAAGCGGCTGCAGCAGAGGCAGTTCGCGCACTTGGCGCCGTTGGCCTGCGCGCCGCACATTTGCGCGCGAGCTCCCGTGGTGACGAGCGCCGCGGCCAGGACGGCCAGGATAGCCGTCGCCGCCGTGGCCAGACTCGGAGGAGCTCTCCGTGACGACATGGTCTGATTGGTTTCGCCTTTGCTGCTGCATATGCATGGCGCTAAATGTCGCCCTTTTATACACCAGATTAAGATTATGATGGGGTTTGTAGATGGAGGAAAGTCGTCGGCTCGCATGTACTGTACTGGCCACTGCAACATGGCGTGCTGTTTTTCCGATTCAAAAACTTATCCTAGATCGCATCTTGAGAAACTTGTAATTCGAAGTCAGAGCATTAGCAGCCGGCCATGTGGGTGAACTAGCTTATTAGGGGCTCTAAACAACGAGGCTCTGTTTGACATGGACGGATTTTAGAGGAATTTCATTGTAGGCACCAACATGTCAAGATGCTTGGAAGTAGACGCAGAACTAAGAATGCATGTGATTCCACCCCTTTACTTTTCTAGTCCCGTGGATTATCGTGATCCCTAAGTATCTCAAGTATGAGAGCATCTGAGCCTATTTTGGGCGCACGGTCTCCTGAACTGGTTGAGGCTACGGCGCTCCGGCGTGCTGTCATCTTGCCTCGAGAGGAGGCCTTCTCCAATGTCTCCTTCAACACTGATTGCCTCTTCGTGGTGCAGCGTCTTTCGTCTTCCTCCAGAGATCGCTTGGTAATGGGTTCCGTTCTTTTGGAGGTTAAAATCATGGCAAACGGCCTCTCGTCTGCTTGCTTCCAGCATGTTCATCGACATTGTAATGTTCTAGCTCATATCCTAGCTAAATCTAGTTTGAACTCTCCTAGTCTTTGTATTTTCTGTTCTGCTCCGGATTGCATCCGGGAGACTCTGTGTAAGTTTGTTGCTTAATTAATAAAGGCTGACGTTCTTTCTAAAAAAAGTATGAGAGCATCTCTTACCGATTTCCTATAATTTAGAGGAGTAAATGGTTGAGTACTCTTTGGAGGAGCATATTTTCTACTCGAGAAAAGTGTCGTTTCTAACCAAATACTTATACTTAACTCCTGAAAAAAACACAAATTCGGTGCAAATTTCATTCAAACTCCTTCATCAAACTCGATTCAACGAGTTGCATAAACTATTTTACATAACTTAAACAAGATTCAAACTAGATTGCATAAAAATTAAAGAAACTACTCGTTATCGCTCTTGTTTATCAACCTTCCCCGTTCTGATTCGGTCATGATCTCCTCGCCCACTCTGTCGCCGCCACCTTGGCCTTTTTCGCTCGCACCGCCTTGGCCCGTTCCATCACCACCGCCATCGCCATATCCGTCACCGTTGGAGCCGGAGTCGTCGCTCGATCAAAGACAAATGACAGGCGGCGCATTGGACTTGTACAGGTCGTACAACTGATGCTCCTCCTCGACGCGCTCTAGGTACAAGCGGCGAAGCTCCGTCACGTGTGCCTTGCCGGCTTGCTCCACCTGAAGGTGCTCGCGGGCCTCCTGGTCTTCCAGCATCTCCGTGTGGTGGCGACCCGGGGGTTGACGGGAGTCAATTGCGGTAAGCCATCGGGGAAGTTGAACCGCATCGTGAAGGCGCTCCGACATTATGTCGTACTCCCACGTCGCCTACACGGAATGATCCAATCCAAATCTTCTCGTGGATTTCACGGTCGGTGATATCCGCAACCCACATCCCCCATGCCCACTACTGCACGCTGAGGTATTTCCTCTGCGGCGGCAGCGGCGGCGGGAGTCGGGGAAGTGGAAAGCTCTGCTATGAGAGGAGGAAGCACCACCACGACCAAGGACTCGACACTGTGCGTGGCGGCTTGGATCCGCGATTCTGATCGACAACGAGGAGCGGCAGCGGAGTGGTTGGGGGTGGGCATGGTGAAAGGGCATTTTCCACTTAGTGTTTTGGTGTTGATGACAACGCAATTAGCGGATTAATCGTGTGCTTGAGCTACTCATGTATATCTACATGGCACAAGATGGTTCTTTACCGCTCTGGAAGGGAAAGATAGGAGGCGGCATTTCAGATGCATTTATTTCTTTGGTCGTAGGAAATCCATACTATTAAGAGGGGATCTACATCGGGAGGTAGGACTAGAATCAAATTATGTACACAAAATCTATGTTGCACCCACACTAGCCTTCCTAGTTGTTTCGAGAAGAGACTTCAAATCTAACTAGTGTGAAAACTATCCAAGTAGTTGTACCGCTCCCTCTGTGGAGTGGACAACTACAAGCACAACCAATCGGTTGTACCGCGTACATCAGAGGTTGTACCACGTACATAAGCGTTTGTACTGTGCACATAAGCGGTTGTACCGCTCCTTCTTGGAGTGGTGCTACTAGGCCATGTACTGGTCCAACTACCACCGGAGGGGTGATTCCTCAGGTGTGGCAGTTGTTCATGGATGATGGCCAAGCATTTGTTCCGATTATTCTTGTAACAACCAATACAAGCGGGTAACCAAGTGGTTGTACCCTCTGGAAGCCGTGGCCAGGCCTGGCGCATGGGGCAGTTGTACCGGCCCATGTACCACCCCAACAACCGCCCGCGAGGTGATTCCCTCGGGTGTGGGCCGGTGTGGTGGCTGGGTGGTTATTTGGGATATTCTCGTAATAACTGATGGGTAACGTAGTAATTTCAAAAAAAATTCTACGCACACGCAAGATCATGGTGATGCATAGCAACGAGAGGGGAGAGTGTGATCTACGTACCATTGTAGATCGACAACGGAAGCGTTAGCACAACGTGGTTGATGTAGTCGTACGTCTTCACGGCCCGACCGATCAAGCACCGAAACTACGACACCTCCGAGTTCTAACACACGTTCAGCTTGATGACGATCCCCGGACTCCGATCCAGCAAAGTGTCGGGGAAGAGTTCCGTCAGCACGACGGCGTGGTGATGATCTTGATGTACTACCGTCGCAGGACTTCGCCTAAGCACCGCTACAATATTATCGAGGACTATGGTGGAAAGGGGCACCGCACACGGCTAAGAATATGATCACGTGGATCAACTTGTGTCTCTAGGGGTGCCCCCTGCCTCCGTATATAAAGGATCAAAGGGGGGGGTGCGGCCGGCCAGGAGAGGGCGCGCCAGAGTAGGATTCCCCCCTTTCCTAGTTGGAATAGGATTCGGGAGGGGGGAAAGAGGAGAGAGAGAAGGAAGGGGGGCGCCGCCCCCTTCTCCTTGTCCTATTCGGACTAGGGGGGAGGGGCGCGCGGCCCAGCCCTGGCCACCTCTCCTCTCTTCCACTAAGGCCCACTAAGGCCCATATACCTCCCGGGGGGTTCCGGTAACCTCCCGGTACTCCGGTAAAATCCCGATTTCACCCGGAACACTTTCGATATCCAAATATAGGCTTCCAATATATCAATCTTTATTTCTCGACCATTTCGAGACTCCTCGTCATGTCCCCGATCCCATCCGGGACTCCGAACTCCTTCGGTACATCAAAACTCATAAACTCATAATATAACTGTCATCGAAACCTTAAGCGTGCGGACCCTACGGGTTCGAGAACAATGTATACATGACCGAGACACGTCTCCGGTCAATAACCAATAGCGGAACCTGGATGCTCATATTGGCTCCTACATATTCTACGAAGATCTTTATCGGTCAGACCGCATAACAACATACGTTATTCCCTTTGTCATCGGTATGTTACTTGCCCGAGATTCGATCGTCGGTATCTTAATACCTAGTTCAATCTCGTTACCGGCAAGTCTCTTTACTCGTTCCGTAATACATCATCTTACAACTAACTCATTAGTTGCAATGCTTGCAAGGCTTATGTGATGTGTATTACCGAGAGGGCCCAGAGATACCTCTCTGACAATCGGAGTGACAAATCCTAATCTCGAAATACGCCAACCCAACATGTACCTTTGAAGACACCTATAGAGCACCTTTATAATCACCCAGTTACGTTGTGACGTTTGGTAGCACACAAAGTGTTCCTCCGGTAAACGGGAGTTGCATAATCTCATAGTCATAGGAACATGTATAAGTCATGAAGAAAGCAATAGCAACATACTAAACGATCGGGTGCTAAGCTAATGGAATGGGTCATGTCAATCAGATCATTCACCTAATGATGTGATCTCATTAATCAAATAAGAACTCTTTGTCCATGGTTAGGAAACATAACCATCTTTGATTAACGAGCTAGTCTAGTAGAGGCATACTAGTGACACTCTGTTTGTCTATGTATTCACACATGTATTATGTTTCCGGTTAATACAATTCTAGCATGAATAATAAACATTTATCATGATATAAGGAAATAAATAATAACTTTATTATTGCCTCTAGGGCATATTTCCTTCAGTCTCCCACTTGCACTAGAGTCAATAATCTAGATTATACAGTAATGATTCTAACACCCATGGAGCCTTGGTGCTGATCATGTTTTGCTCGTGGAAGAGGCTTAGCCAACGGGTCTGCTACATTCAGATCCGTATGTATCTTGCAAATCTCTATGTCTCCCACCTGGACTAGATCCCGGATGGAATTGAAGCGTCTCTTGATGTGCTTGGTTCTCTTGTGAAATCTGGATTCCTTTGCCAAGGCAATTGCACCAGTATTGTCACAAAAGATTTTCATTTGACCCGATGCACTAGGTATGACACCTAGATCGGATATGAACTCCTTCATCCAGACTCCTTCATTTGCTGCTTCCGAAGCAGCTATGTATTCTGCTTCACATGTAGATCCCGCCACGACGCTTTGTTTAGAACTGCACCAACTGACAGCTCCACCGTTTAATGTAAATACGTATCTAGTTTGTGATTTAGAATCGTTCGGATCAGTGTCAAAGCTCGCATCGATGTAACCATTTACGATTAGCTCTTTGTCACCTCCATAAACGAGAAACATATCCTTAGTCCTTTTCAGGTATTTCAGGATGTTCTTGACCGCTGTCCAGTGATCCACTCCTGGATTACTTTGGTACCTCCCTGCTAGACTTATAGCAAGGCACACATCAGGTCTGGTACACAGCATTGCATACATAATAGAGCCTATGGCTGAAGCATAGGGAACATCTTTCATTTTCTCTCTATCTTCTGCAGTGGTCGGGCATTGAGTCTGAC